CCCCGGTTCCGGCCCCGCCCGGGCGGCGAGGGGGCCTCCCCCCCGGCCCCCCTGCGGCGGCTCCCCGGCGGGACGGCGGGCAGCCCAGCCCCAGCGAGCCGCGCCAGGACCAGGCCGGTCCCTGGGCTGAGTCGGTCCCCTCGTCCCCGTTCCCAGGCCTGGCGCCAGCTGTTCCCGCGCCCGCCTTCCCCCTTCGCGCCCTCGGACGCTCACCTGACCGAGATGAACGACGGGCGGCGGGATCCTCAGTGGCTCTGCGATGGCGTGAATGATGCCGTTGAAAGCTATGATGTCCCACTCCACAATCATCGTGCCGTTGATCCCCTTGGCATCCTACAGCACAGGACAGAGATGATGTCACCCGACCAGAAAGCCTCCCCCTTGTTCTGGGTCTCAAAAGAGATGTGGTGAAAACTTGTGGGTTTTTTTTTTTTTTGGACCTCTGCTGAGGTTAAACCTACTGAGTGCTCTGTACTGTTGCCCACTGGGAGGTCTGATACATGGAGGTCATATCCTGACTGGGACGGGATGATGGTGCCCATGGTGAGGTTGAAGCTGAAGAGGACGACATTGCTGGACGACACATGGAGCTTCAGTTCTTCTTCTGTCAGCGTCTGAAAAAGCAACAGGGAGCAGGGATGAGAAACTGGCTCTCGCCGCTTCCCGCCTGCTGCATGCAGCCCCCACCTGGCCTGAGCCCAGACACGCTCCATGGCCCCAAGGCAGCTCAATTCATGAGCAACATGGCACAAAACTACTATGCAGAGAAGGGGAGACTGCCACCCTTAGAAAGAGTCAAAGCCCAACTGGAGAAGGCTCTGAGCAACCTGACCTAAATGGCTCTCCTGAGTGAGGGTTTGGACAAGAGACCTCCAGCGGTCCCTTCTGACCTAAATTCCTCCTCCTTCCCCAGACTATTTCACATCACCATCACGCCAGCTTTGGCAGACTCCTGCTCTCCTCTGGGCCCGATCATTCCGTGTGCCCTCAAGCAGCCGCTCATCCCTGCTTGCTTACTTCATTGTCTGTGAAGCCAGAATTCAGAGGGACAAAGAGAGTTTTGGGAGCGAAGTCATCAGACAAAGAGATGAAAAAATCCAGTCCTTCTTCTGTGTCATTGGCAAAATCGAGCAACATCTGGAAAAGATGGGAGATCTTCCCCATCAGCACACTGCCGGTGGCAGCTCAATGCTGTTACCTTCCCCAGCCCAGGAAACATCCCCCAGCCCTGGAAAGAAAATGCTTCTGTGTTTGAACTCTTTACCCCACATGCAGACCAAACCACCACTTCTCCCTGTTACGGCAGATCCCTCCCTTTTTGTTGCCCACTGCTGGCGTACCAAAGAACCAGGAGAGCATCGCTTACGGAATAGAAGTTGGAGAAGCGAGCGTGGTCTGCGAGCACATCAGGCAGTTTGCCGCTGCACCAATACCCATCTCCCACAAACCCATCGCGGCAGGTGCAAGTCAGATCTGCAAAGGAACACCGAGATGCGACTGGACTCGCCAATGCTGGGTATGCTGACCATCTCTCCCTTGACTTCTGGATACCCCTCAGCATGTTCCCTCCTGACACAGGCATGGGAAGAGGGGGATGTGCCCGCCTGCCCGTGCCTCATGCTCCGAGGGCAGTTCCCTGCCTGCCGCCCCGACACGCCTCTTGTGCCCGACAGGACCGTCCCCAGGACACGTGCTCGCGCCACTCACCCTTCTCCC